TTTCATGTTAGATGATACTAATCTCGCCAGGAGCGCATCATCCCAGTCAGGGTTTTTCATGCAACCACCTGCTCAGTACGCTTCCAGCCAGCGCAGCGCATCCATCAATCGCGGCAACTCCGCCGGTTCCTATGTTTCTCAAACCGCCTCCGATAAATATTTCGGCTATGACCTAGGACCCAGCGAGATGGTTCGGCGGCCCACGGACATATTGCATGCACTCGCGGACTATACACCACGTGGGCCCCTGGAACTTCATGACGAAGCCGATGGGGAGTACTGGGAGGATGATGAAGAAGACGAGAGTCGATTTGTTAATTTTTCGCTTTTGTCACACATCGCGGTACAGTTGAGGGATAAGGTTCCACGAGGCACACATGTGAAAGGAAGTATTCCCTATCCTCGAGCATTTACCGGAAAGGATATTGTGGTAAGTTCATCATTGCACTTATGAGCGTTCTCTGATCCCACCTAGTCGACGATTCAATCACAAATCAACGCGAGCTAGCCATAAATCATGGGTTATCCACCAATGATAGACGGGCTGCCTTACAAGTTGCTCGGAGTCTCCAAAATCAGCTATTTTTCTACGAAGTGGAATGGGGTGGTAGAGTGCTTCAAGATGGTGTGGAAGATGTATACATGTTTTTGGATGACCAGGAAGGGGGTTCAGATGCAGCACCGGAACGGGAGGAATTGCCGACAGGAGTGGTGACGATGCTCACGAGGTGCTATTCACCTAGTTGTGGTGATGGCTCTCCCTGCTACGCTTATGGATGTCCTCGAAAGGTAGGCAATCAAATATCTGTTCAGATGTCCTCCTCACCACTCTCAGGGCAATTCTATCATTGGCCCTATGTTGGGTCCTGCGGAGGTAGTCCCCGAAACGAAGGAGCAGGAGTGGTCAGAGACAGTGGAGAAGGCAGTCTTGAGCTCTCTGCCAGAGAGCGAAATAACCCGGCAAACGTAATGTTGATAGAGTTATCACCCACTCGTAGCTAACTGCCTACCCATCAACAGCATCATCCACAAGATTATCGGCAAGGAGCAGCAATATTTGCAGGACCTGGACATTGTAGAATCTGCGTTTATCAAGCCCATACGAACGGCGAACCCTCCCGTAATACCACTGGATAAACTTGACGATTTCATCGATGACGTCTTCGGCAATATTCTAGATCTTCGCGAATGCAACCGTCGTCTTCTTGAGGTCATGTTCGTGCGGCAACGAGAACAGGCACCGATCATCCAACGAATTGGGGATGTGTTTCTCGATGCTGCAACAGAGTTCAGATTGGCTTATCCGATATATATTGGGCACCATCCCCTGGCCGAGAAGCGAATGAAAGATGAGCTGGAGGTTAACCCAGAATTCCGGTTATTCCTTGAGGTGTGCAACAAGGTTATGGCCAACTGTGTCATACTGATTGATTTTTCGCAGCACTGTTCACGCCAATCTGCAAGGACTGGAGACACAGTCCGACTTGATCTAAAACATTTCCTGAATCGGCCCTCTGAGCATCTCCAAAAATATCCAGTGCTACTTGAGGCAGTGTTGCACGAGACAGCAACTGGCAACCCCGACACAGATTACCTGCGAGAGGCCATTGACTCCATTAAAAGTCTCCAAAACGTTGCGCAGCTGCGGACCTTTCAGTCGGCTATGGGTAGAGGGGCTCCCGGAAAATGGGAATGGCATGACATGGTTTCTGCCGAAATACGGAAGGGTTTATCCAAAGACGAAGCTAAGCGACAATCGTGAGTTCGTTCCATGCCATCCTTCTTTAGCCTGATGTATTGGAAGAATTATTTTTGAACTAATAAAGGGAGAGATGGCCTACGTCAAAGATTTGGAGAATATTGAGATTGTAAATTCAATCCCTCTCATTTGTTCCATTTGGTTGAACATCCCTCGTAGATGTATATTCAGCCCTTGCGGAACGCGGAACCCCCCATCATCCCTCCTAATAAACTCGACCAGTTTATCGAAGACGTTTTCCACAACTTCGCCGAGCTACATTTACATCACAGGAAATTGGTCGAAAAGTTCCATGAATACAACGAGAGCAGCACCCCACAATACACACATAACTGCTGCCTATTTGATGCTGCACTCAACTTCCGTGATGCATATATGGAATATATCCCAACTATCCATAGCGGCGTACCGAATCGATGATGAAATGGCACGGAGCGCGCCTTTCAAGACATTTGTTGAGGTGGATCCACTATTTCCATGTTATGGCATATGATTTACTGGTGCTCCCAGCAATGCGTTCGTCATCCTGATGCTCACCGATTAGATATGAAAAGTTTCATCAATCGCCCAATCCCTCGACTGCTCCGCTATGAACTTTTCTCAAAGGTATTCTCGAAGAAACTCCTCCCGGGCATGAGGATATCGATGCCATACCCCATGTCATCGATGTCATCAAAGCCCTTGGAAAGGAAACCGAGCCGGGGTGACTGCTGCGAAACAGAAGGTGGAACTATGGCGATATAATTCACACCTCTCGTTTAAACCTGGAGAATACATCGTAGGCAGTCTCCCCCTTTCGTATATTTATGTTCAACGCTTTTAGGACATGGGCCTCCTTGACCCAGACCGGTCTTTGGTTTACTCTGGGAAACTTCTACGCCAACCCGATGGTGGACTGGAATGGAATGGCTGGACTGAGCTCTTTGTCCTACTCTTCGATAATTATTGTGGGTATTCATATCCATGCTTCTCAAGCATTCACTAAGGGGATTTAGTGGTATTAACTAAACCAAAGGAAAGAGATGGCATTACCAAATACAACGTCAACCGTCGGGTATGTCCCATCGACCGCAGGCTCGATATTCCACTAATCAATTAAAAGCCTATACCACTTGACCTACTTACCCTCGTCAATTTCGTTGATCCTCCTGCGCAGCGGAGTACTGGTCTCCTCCGCAATCTTCGTGGCGGGGAGCGACATGCGGACGCCGCCACCCCCACTTCTGCTGCGTCTGCAGAGAACCCGGCTGATGCTCGTTCGGCGTATCCTATCACATTACACCACACTGGCAGACTGGGTGGTCCTTATATCCTATACGCGGAGACAGCTCAGGCCCGAACGGAGTGGAAGGACAAACTGGAGCATGCACTTGGGCTGCGCAAGATTGTGCAGGAGTCTAATAAAGTCTTCGAAGTTGAGATGTTGAGCACTGATACGTTCCTCGTACCCGCTATGACGAGTGGACCTTCCGCGACGCCATCATGGAACCAAGAGGCTACATATACTGGTCGGGTAACTTGCTCAGTGCCATTCAGTGCGTGTTTCCCACAAGCACCCTATTGCGTTTGCTAAGTGTGCCGTAGACACCGCTGATGGGCGTGGTCTTGTCGCAATTGGTTGCGCGGAGGGCGTTTGGATAGGATTCCGCCATGATCCAAAATGTATGCTTCCAACAGTGATGATAGATGACTATTGATTTCTTTCTAGCAATGAGGCGGGTCCTGCATTTGAAAATGGTAACTCAATGCGCCATGTTGCAGGAGTTTGGAATATTTCTCGTTCTGGCGGACAAGGTATTTATATTTTGGTAGGAAAATCGACAAATTTATATGGTTCTAGGCATTATTTGCGTACCACATCGAAGCCCTGGTGCCTTCAGGCCTTCATTCGGCACAAACGAACCAGGTGCCCCAGAAACTCAATGGAACAAAAGATGTCCATTTCTTCAGCGTCGGTAGCCTCCATGGACGAACACTCATCATCTACATGAAGAAGAAAGGCGTATGTCCATTTTCGCCCCAAATCGATTGCTGCTGATAGAGTACGCCCAGCTTGACAGCATATTCCGCGTTCTCGAGCCCGTGGGCGACAAGATCAACGAACGGGTCAAAGCCCCCGTCGGCCTGGGCTCACGACTGGGCTTCCGCTCTGCAAAATCAGAATGGTTCCGCATCTACCGGGACTTCTTCCTGCCATCAGAGTCATTTGACCTCATCTTCCTGAAGGCTAGAATAGCCATCCTCTGTGCCAAGGGCTTTGAGATTATGGATTTGAACGAGTAAGCATTATTACCATTCCCACCTACTCCCAGTAATGGTTCCCCAGTTTCAATAGTGTGACTATTCCCCAGAGAGAGGACGCCCGCCTTGCGCAGCTTGCGAAGCGGTGCGAATCATGTCGACCCCTGGGCATGTTCCGTTCCACAGACGACGAGTTTTTGCTCTGTTATGATGGTAAGTCGGACATTCCGTCAGCATAACCATCACACTCACGCGCACCAGAATTTGGTGTTTACGTCGACAAACATGGTGATCCCAGCCGGTCTGCGGCCACCATCGAATGGGAAGGTACCGCCGAGCGCGTTGCGCTGCACTCGCCCTACATCCTGCTTTTCGACTCGCGGTTCATCGAGGTACGGCACGTCGAGACCGGACGGCTCGCGCAGATCATCCCGGGCACCGACGTGCGGTGCATCTGGGACGGCCGTGGTGTTGGCACGAATGTCAGCGCGACGGGGGCCCACGGACGCGAGGACATGGGCTCCGAGGCGCAGGTGCACGTCGTGATGACGCCTCCCGTGGAGTCGGGCACGAAGGCCAGGGCCGTCGCGCAGCATGTGGTGGAGCTTGTCCCGACGATCCCACTGTTCCCATCCGCCTCGCAGAAGAGGGACACTGGGGCGTACGCGGTGCATCCTGGGGGCGGCAAGAATGCGGGTGGGTACCCGGCTGGCCCTGAGTACCAACAGTTCTCCAAGTCACAGTCGCCACCGCAGTCGCCTGGCATGTTTTCGATGCAGTCGTGGAGGTCCTGAAAAAGCTGTATATAATGTACGTTTACCATGTGGATACCATTTTGTACAATAGTCGTCGTAAATTAGATGATAACTCTGGAAATACCATATACATACCGAGTCAATTGCACAGGCAGAGACAACTTGAATGGTGAGCTGAATTACCATGGTAGGTGATTAAGTGATTCAGTGGAGATTGAGATTGTCCGAACATAGCAACTATCATATCCCTCTTAGCTCAGTGGTAGAGCGCGTCACTAGTACCGAAACCGGTATGACGAGGTCAGTCGTTCAAGTCGGCTAGAGGGAAAGGGGATCATGTGTTAATTTTTTTGCCCATGCCGGGACAAAAGAACTTGGTCATCAAAAAACATGAGGTGAGCATGCAGAGCCAAGGAAGAAAAATGACTGCTCCAGAGAGGCTCGAACTCTCGACCTTCCGATTATCAGGCGTTGCTTAACAGTCGGACGCTGTAACCAACTCAGCCATGGAGCATGTGCAAGCTGGCGCCGCCAGCCTGCTAGGATCCGTCAAATCCCGGGAGGTAAGAGAAATACATACTGAGACTGACCTTAATATTCCTTTGAACGCTTAGTGCCTCTGGCAGGGCGGGAGAACGGATCAAGATATTTTGGATACATTAGGCGGCAATACAAATAGACAACAAGATAGCAAGATAAGCTAGACAGGTGGTATACACGACAGCGGTATTACAAAAGAATCATGTCACGGAAAGCTACATACAGGAATGCGAATGGATTATGGGTAAGTACGAGCACCAGGCTCAGTTGCAGCGGACACGGAGTGCGCCCCAGCTCATTTTGTGCAGCAGCCCGCGGTGGTGGATGCCGCGTTTGATGTCCGTGCAGACCTCACCGGGAGAGGAGACAGTCGCGGACTTGGGGGTAGGCGCAGGCGCGGGTGGGGCGGGGGAGAACGATTCTGCGAGGAATGCGGATTTTTCGAGGGTGACGTCAATGTCCATGGCGCCGGCAGTGGGCGGGAGTGTGAGAGGGGCGGGGCGTCTGCGGGATTTGCTGCGCTGGCGCTGGGCGCCGGTGCTTGCATAGGGCTTGGAGGCGCGTGTGGTACGGGGTGTGCGAGGTGCGCGTACAGATGGGGATGGGGGCGGGGGAGAGGGAGGGGGGACGAAGGCGGAAAGGTCAAGCATGTATGAGGGTTGCTGGCGGAGGTGTTTCGCTGAGCGCTGGGGGCGGGACGGGAGCGTGAGGAGAGGAGGGCGGGCCGATGCGGCGGGTGAGCGGGGAGACAGAGGTGAGGTGGGGAAACCTGGGAGAGGGCCGAGGCCGAATGCCGAAACGGGGTAGACAGATGGGAGGGGCTCGGAAGAGTCGGCAGGCTGGAGGGGGAGCAAGAGGTAGGTTGGGGAGAGGGTAGAAGTCTGGGTGGATGCGCTACGCATGATGGTGGGTGAGAGGGAGGGGAATTGGACCCATTGTTCTGGCTCGGCATCGCCAAGGAGAGCCATGTACTCCTCCTGCTCCTCCCGATCCCACCAAACGGCCCCGGCATCACGGTGGACTCCGGCAACACCATTGGTCGCTGCGGCGGATGGATGGGCGGCTAGGGTAGAGTGGATTGTGGCATCCATGGATCCGCCGTCAATAAGCTGGTTGAGGAGAAGGGTGGTGTGCAGCGGCGGCGGGAGCGGATAGGCGCGCTTTTTGGGTTTCACTGGCTTGGGTTTTGGAGTCGCGGGCTTTGATTTGGGCTTGTTGCCACGGAGGATGGCAAGCGAGCGAAAGCGCTTTGGGGCGGCTTGTGTCTCGGATGCCGGTGCCGATCCCGGAGTAGGAGGCATGGGAGGTGCGGGCGTAGCAGACGTGCACTGAACGAACATGGCTGGCGTAGCAGGCGTTTTCGGGACATGAACAAATACAGAGGTATATCCAAGTGTCGTGAGATCAAAATCTTTTGCCGAGGTCGGTGTCTCGACGAGAAGGAAGGAGCCGGAAGAACCACGAGCGTGTGTCGAGCGGGATATGGATGGGCGTCGGGTGCTCCGGGTGAGGGAGGGGCGGCGGCAGGGGGAGTGGGGAGAACCCGGGGAACCCGGTTGGACATGGGCGGCCCAGCTGGCGATGGCCGAGCGGATATGGGGGCTCTGGCATGGCAGGGGCGGCAGAGGCGCAGTGGGGCGCTTCTTTTGGGGGGGAGGTGGGCGGGAAAGGAAAGCGTATTGAGGGGCCATCTCGTATAAGTTCGTGTTCGTTGTGGGCGTTGTAGCGTCAAGCTAAAAAGAGTACGATGCGGGCGAGACTAGCTCTGCTGCGTATTGGCCTTTCCATCCTGAATCGACCAGTGCTTATATTGAATTTGCCAGACAAAAGCCCCACCGAACAATAAAAAAATCCTGCGTGCCATTGCCATGATCAGAGAACAGTGCAAGCCCTAGCCAAATACTAGCATACAACATTGTACACCACCCTATTGTTGACAAAACAACAATGCCTTTATTTGGCTGTCGCAACTCCGACCCGGATCTCCGTTGCAGCTCGTTGGTGCTGGCCACTCTATGGGCGCTTTATTGTTGCGTAATAAAAATCCACGCATCCATCAACCCAAGACTTCACATACACACACGGCCGGCCGCTAGCAATATAGTTTTATGAAATCCCATAACAAAAACTCATATAGCGCCTCTCGGGTACCAGGCCCGTGCAATGCATTCCTCAGCTCACTTGATATTATTACATCCCACAAGCTGCGATGCCGTATCTATCGGTTACTTGCTCGATACCTGACAATAAACAGTGCCTCATTTCCGCTATTTTTCTGCCTTCTCCCAGGCAACTGCATATCTCCGGAGCATACTTAGTGTTTAACCCTATCAATACACACACCATGCACCGTTCCCTGGGCCCGTGATTTGGGAAATATCATCACCACTCACCCGAGCGCCCTTGTGGCCCGAGGCGCGAGATATGCTATATCCAAGTCTATCATGTATTACTACGCAAGATCTCTACCCTCAAGCCATGCCCCCGAGGCCCAAGGTTACACGCAGCACTTTGGAACTGAGGTATATGATTTGGACCCCTAACATGTGCTCCATGGCTGAGTTGGTTACAGCGTCCGACTGTTAAGCATCGCCTGATAATCGGAAGGTCGAGAGTTCGAGCCTCTCTGGAGCAGTTATTTTTATGCTCGCCCATCATCTCGGTGTGTGTTTGATTGCCTAGCTTTATAATAAGAAACGAAATCCGGATCTGATGGATTGTAAAATGTATGGGGTGGTATGAATCGCACAAATGCAGTAATGTAAATTCAATCCTTTTCATATGATTGTGTCTTCTCATGACATCCGGACCAAGGACAGTGTTGAAACCACAATATTGAAATACCGATATAAATGGGAGGCACTCACTGTAAGATGTGCCGCATCAATGCCCTCGGACGAGATCGAGTCCGAGCACACCGGATTCTCACAGCTGGCGGCGCATTGCCTTATTGTCGTTGCCCCCGCGGGGCCTGGAAGAACTCCGCACCTATCGGATGGTGAATGTGCGGGGTATTTGGAGACATGGGCTTATCGGTGGTATGGGCGTCGGGTTCTTATCAGAGCGGGCATGACGCTCTGACAATGTCCGTCAGTGAATATCGCGGTGGCCTCGACTGACGCGGGCTCACCTGCATGGGAAAATTTGCTGCAGAGATCATGGCCGACCTTGCAAGCGCGTTGTCGGCCCGTGGAGGCGATGATATAGCCCGCAAGCTGCGAGCATACGATCAGGTTCCAGTTGCACCACGCGGCGCAGGGCTATCGGTGATTACATGGATGACCGCATAATACCCTGGGGTACACAGACTGGCAGTAAAGGAATCGATATGAGTGGTCGCGCCTCGCTGTGTTTCCCGTTAGCGAGGTCTCGCACACGCGGAGGGGTCTGCAATATGTACTTGGCAACGGCGTGCCTGAGGGGCATAAGTCCATATCAGAAGTAGAGGACTAGATCATCAATCGCAGTGGCTGAAGCCGATTTCGAAACGAATGGACAGCCGGGTGGCGTCGTGGCTATTACCTAGGTGATAGTCTTAACTTACGCCAGGATCCAATACTGTGAGCAGTCAACTGTCAGGAACATTGATCTGGTGGCGGAACGCGTGGCTTGCAGTGAGATCGTATGTAAAATGTAATGTACTCTGTGGGTGGCGCTCAGAGGCCGAGCGACGAGTTGTTGGAGTCCGGTATGGCAATACATTTCTGCGACGAAGGGCTCGCATTTGGTGGGACAAACCCCGCACACTGTGGTCGGGGTCCGAAACGTGATCCGGTGCGAACCAGAGAGGATATGCTGCACCATGGGTGCTCTAGTCTACTCAGCCGGTGTATGCGTCGGACAAAGTCTGGACCGTGATCTTCGGCTAGAGGCATGGGAAAGGCGGAATCTGGACGGAGGAGAAATTATAGAGTTGCAATAGCCCGAGGATGCGACGTGAGGGCTCAATGGCTAGATGCTGATGTGAGAACTAGGCGGGAAGACCCCACTAGCAGCCTCGACAAGTTAGCAAGGCTGGTTACATATACAAATCGTCGGGCCCACCACCATGGTGGGTACTATTGAAGCGGCTTGGATCAACAATAGAGATGGCGGGTTACCAGGCTCATATATAGCAAGCTGCGGTGGTGTGGGGGGGGTTATTCCTGGTCGAGTTCAATCAAAATGGCACAGCTTGAAAAATAGAATTTGTGGTGCGACTCAAATTTGGAAATGGGTGGATGCTGGCCAAGGAGTACCGAGGTTTTAGTGGGTCGGGGCCGGCGGCAAGCATGAAGCCCCACATCGCCTAGGAGGAGGCCCGCGTAGGGGAATTCCCGCGGCATGATGAAGCATCCCTTATGGCTCCCAAATCCGCCAGGTGAAGACCTTTGCACCATCGCACTGAAGTGCTGGAGTTTGAACCATTTTTGGAGGTGATTTGTACAACCCCAAGCGTCCTGATAGGATCTATCAGATACCACTTTTGTTTTTGAGAACCTGGGCCCGGGGTACCTCTCAATACACCGTCTCGCATGGACTCTGGCTGGGTTTGAAAAAGAAACCAAGGCCAATGGCGGAGTTGCGATTTATCACATGTCAGCGAAAGAAGTTGTCCCAATCTCGTATCGGGTCTCCAATTGTGGATCCGACTGGCACGGTTATGGAAGTATACTCTTACCTCGATACGGGACTCGGGTTTTTTGTCACTTCTGGAGAAGGACTGATGTTTATCTGGCGGAACGAAGTAACTCTTGGGTAGGTCTATATAAGCCTGGCCTATGTTCCCGGTGTATCCTCACTCCAACTCCCCCTCGAGTTCAACAGCACGAGATGGGTTCCTCCAAAGTTGTCCAGAAATACAATGAAGACGACCTTCCGGCTTACACGCCTATGCCATGGCAACGTTTGCCGTACTATATAGGAAATATTCTCACACATATTTCAGGTCTCTGAAGGAGATTCGTGCAGCTATTCCTGCCAAATTCTTCGTTCGGGACACGCGCCGCGGATTATTATATCTTGCTCGTGATCTCTTATTGGCCACCGTTGCCTGGTCGCTTGCAGCCTACATTGACCCCTACTTCAAACAATCGTCTACAAGGCAGGCTTGAGCCTATCGGTGCTGAGCTCTCCCGCTGGGCAGCCTGGGGCGTCTAGTGAGTATCTACCCTCCTTTGGTCAATCCTGCCTGACACTGGAATTTACAGCTGGTGGTTCCAAGGTCTTATCTTCACTGGGATCTGGGTTATCGGACATGAGGTAACGATCTTCGTCCAACCTATCCTCCCATCTAACCCCCTGATAGTGTGGACATGGAGCTTTCTCGGATCACAAATGGGTTAACGATATCATTGGCTTTGTCCGTTGTCCCATTTGGGTTTTCGCACAGCCGCTAATAGTGTCCTGCGCAGATCACACACTCCTTCCTCTGGACCCCGTATTTCAGCTGGAAGATCTCCACCACCGTCACCACAGCAACCATGCTTCGATGGAGCGGGACGAAGTCTATGTACCCAAGACTAGGTCTGATCTCGGGATTCCAGAACACCATGACGGTCTCGACTATGAGGAGATCCTCGGAGATACCCCCATCTATACTCTTTACATGTTAATCCGGCAACAAGTTTTGGCCTTCCCCGCCTACCTGCGTAGGTGGAATGTTTTCTTTTGTCTGCCATAGCTGACCATTCGCCCAGTCTTCAACGTATCCGGCCAGAAGACCTACCCCAAATGGACCAACCACTTCGATCGTTAGTAAAATCTAGAATCAGATTAGCAACACGACTAATATCGTTCCTTCAGCCAACTCCATTCTGTTCACCAAGGCCCAACGCAATGCTGTGATCATGTCCAACCTCGGTATCGCTGCCATGGTTTGGGGTGTCAGTTACTCTAGCTCGATCTGGGGTGCTTCCGAGGTCACCAAGTTCTACGGCATCCCCTGGCTCTGCGTCAGTCACTGGTGTATGTACTCGTGTTCCTGTTAAGCCGCAGCGTAACTTATATCTGGTAACAGTCATCATGATCACCTACTTGCACCACACCGACCCTGTTATGCCCCACTACCGCGGAAAGGAATGGAACTTCCAACGAGGTGCCGCTGCAACCGTCGACCGACCCATCCTTGGATGGCAGGGACGATTCCTCCTCCATGATGTCGCCCACTTCCACGTTATCCACCACGTAAGTCTACTACATATCTCATACTAAATCCTTATTTATCTTACTTCGGCTAGTTCTTCCCCAAGATGCCTTTCTGTAAGTTCCCCATACTATTCGCCAAGTTGACACGAACTCAATATGATGTAGACCACGGACCAGAAGCCACTCAACACTTGAAAGCATTCATCGGTGATCACTACGTTACCTCCGATGCCCCAGCCTTCAAGGCTCTGTGGGAAAACTACAACAAGTGCCAATTTGTTGAGGACGAAGGTACGCCAAGCGCCGGTATCTGGTCACTCCAAGCTAATATTCTGTCCTAGGTGATGTTCTGTTCTACCGCGACAAGAAAGGACAAGCCATCCGCAGGCCTGCTGATCAATACCGCGTCAAATCAAAGTCCCAATAGATGAATAGACATGATGGGTTATGGCCGAGCTTACCGTCGATGAGGGATGGTTGGTGATAGACGTATATATCCATGCATCTCATGTAGACGAAACATATCCTTGACTGTAATAGAAACTCTTACATTTATCGACGAAATTGTGTGATTTAAGCGTGGAGAAGGAAGCATCTAACCATTCCATAGGCAATCCAGTGAACTGTGAAGCGAGTTAGGGGGTTGGTCATTCAAGTTTGCATTGCGCTGGTCCTAATGGGAAGTTTAGGAGATGCGGGGTATGTGGAGGGGGTGGGAGGACAGCAGGAGGGCCGGCGCTTTGTGGAGGAGACGGGACTCACCCGACTCAAGTGTATCAACGGGGCGGTTGTCGTTGTCCCTTGTGTCCGTACTTTCGGCTCACAATAACATAGATTGTAGAAAGAATGATACAAATTTGCATAAATCCAACATAAATTTCTCTGCTTTCCCAGCTACTGTGCCCCAATAAAATCAAGTGCAGAATGGTGTCGCCGCCGCAATATTGAAATACTGTATTTCACCTTAGCAGCCGAAAAATCAACCCTAGGGGAGGTAACACTCACCGTAAGATGCGCTGCGTCGATACCCCTGGACGGGATGGAGTCTGAGCACGTCGGGTCTTCACCGCTGGCGGCACACTGCTTCGTTGTTGCGGCCGTCGCGGGTCTGGGTTCTGGAAGAACTCCACACCTATCGGGTGGTTAGTACTTGGGATATTTGGGACGCGGGTCTTACCGTGGTGTTGGTAGCCATCAATGCGAGGGATGATGGTGGGACTCTGAAGGGCGGTGAGATTGGAGTATCAAAGGGAGTGGGCATTTACCCATCAGTGGTGTGGACGGCTGGCGTTGATGGTGTTATTGTCAATGGAAGGCGCGAGGATGAGGTGCTCACATCTGAACGCATTGCCACCAAATTGAGCGTTGACGAAATTGGCTCCAGTGGGATTGAACGTGCGGGGCTGGGAACACTGGGATCAACACCAGTCATAAGAGAAACAACGACGCGCACTTGTCCATAGGTAAACATCCTCGTCGCGCTACACCAGGACCACCGTTAGCTGATCC